TTTTCTCCCACTGTATCCAGGATCTCCTGCACTGATCTCAGGGTAACCCTTTTTAATAAGTATAAAATTAGTAGATTTTGAAAATAAAAACCTTAAGAAATTAGGAAATTGGTCCAAAAACCCATTACCGCTTGCTACGGAGTTGATTCTGACTTATAGCAACCCCATAGGACAGAGTAGAACTGCCCCATAGGGTTTCCAAGGCTGTAAATCTTAACAGAATAGACCATCACATCTTTCTCTGGCAGAGTGTCTGGTAGGTTCCAACCGCTGACCTTTCATTTAGCAGCCGAGTGCTTAACCACTGCCCCATCAGGTGTTATTAATTTCTAAGTTACATTTTAATTGCTAGTAGATTATATGGTTACTGCATATGGTGTTATCTTAATGTTATCTGATGCAAATTATTTTTCACTCAGATTGTTTCATAGTAACTGTTGCTGGTTATAATGTGTCCATTATACATTGTACATTGCACACCCAGAATGATGTGGGAGTTGCCAAGAGAGAAAGATAGTGTAGGAAAAGTGTGACAGAGTAGCACTAATCACAGCTTGGAGTCTGGGCTTCATTTTTTTTTTCCCTTTTTGGGGGAGGGGCCCTTCAGTTGTAGGTGTTCATAAAGTCAGCATTCTGAATGTTGCAGAGTTGATTGATTGAATGTAGGTTCACACTAATGAAGCTCAAGAGACTGATATATAAGCCAGAATGTCAATTTATTAATTTACAAAGACAAACAATTGTTCATGTGGATTTGAGAATAGCAAATTCTCTCTCTATGGGCAAATCTTCATGGGAAGCCAGATTTATAATCCAAAGATTGCTGGTAGCCATAGAATCAAAACAAGGTGAGTTAGTTGGACAAGTCAAATGCATAGTAACGTTTGTTATGATTGTTTTAAACACCCATCTCCTCCGTATGGACTAGAGTATTTGATCGCTAGAGAGACTGGTATATTTGCTTTATGGGTCGGTGCACACCCACCCCATCTTCTGGGTAGTGCATGTTCAGGTTTTTATTTTTCTATGCTTGCTTTATGATTGACAAAATTTTTTTTCCCCCATCAGCTCTCCTTTTTAAAATTACATAGGCAGAACGGGTTTCTTTAACTGTTATCCTTTCAATGAGATTCACTGCCCAGTATAGCTGGCGGAGGGGCAATTCTATCCTTCAAGGACTTTACTTTTTTTGAATTATAGTTCAACTTGTATATATGGGGGTAAGGGGGGCGGGGAAAGCAACTTGGTTATTTTTATTCAGTAAGTCTTATGGGCGCACCTCACATGGCCAGTGAATAGAATTGCCAAATAAAATGCAGGACAGTTGAATTCAGATAAAAAATATGTATGTTTTAAGTATAAGTACGTTCTGAATATTGCATGGGGCACACTAACACTAAAACAATTAATTACTGTTTATCTGAAGTTCAGATTTAGCTGGGCAGCTCTGGTAGCATAGTGGCTAAGGCACTTGACTGCTAACCAGAAGGCTGGCGGTTCAAACCCACCAGCCACTCCTCGGAAGGAAGGTTGGGCAATCCTACTTCCGTAGTGATACTGCCTCGGAAACCCAAGGAGGGGTCACTATGAGTCAGGGCTGACTCGATGGCACATAACAACAACATAACAACAAGAAGCCATCTGGCTTGTCCGGGTTCCTGCTGGCCGGTAAGCACCAATTCTTCTGGTTGTCACAGACAGGAACAAAATCTATTTCTATTAAATTATTTAGGTTAATTTTAGGTTACAAGGAAACACGGAAAAATCTTGACCCTGTTAGGAACCCGTAGAACTGTCATAAGCGCGCCCATGCGTGATTCTCCACCCCTTCTATTCTTCCCTGCCTGCAACTGGAAAGAATTGCTCTATAGCATCTTCCTTCTCAAGTCCCGCCCTTTCAGTCACTCTCTCTGGTCTGTAATCGTAATGGTAAAAGCGCCGACGTGGACTTCAGAGGAGCGGAAGTAGTCAAATTTCACTAAGTCGTAAGGCGCAACTGGCTGTTTCACTTTCCGGCTACCGACTACAGCACCGACTGTCAGTGCTGGCCTTCCTCGTGTAAGGGTATCTGGCGGACCCTTCTTAAATCAATTTCTTTCCCAAACCAGGCCCTTCCCTATCGTCGCCCCCATCACCTTGGATCATGTTCAAGAAGTAAGGACCTGCTGTGGTCTCCATCGGCTGCTCACAAAGGCGGTGGGGGTGGGGTGAGGAAGAGGGCGAGAGCTATGATCCTCGTTCTCTCTCCCTCTCCCCTGCCATCCTGACTTCCTAAGGTTTTCTATAGTACTGTGTTCTGACTCGCAGCTTGCAACAGGCTTTCCATCCCTAGTCCTCAATCGGGTTTCAGTCTCCTCTCGCCAATCCTATTTTCTTTCTGCTTACCTCTTTCTCCTTTCTTTGCCCTCTTCCTCAAACCTATCTCCATTTCTAGGATTCTGCCAATCACATCCTTGCACTGGGCTTTAGGGGTATAGCCTCTTTAACTGAGAGGGGAGCCCTGCACTCACTGCCATATGTTTATTAGTTAGGAACTGAATAGGGGAAGGCTTGACTTCCTGGGTCATGGGAGTGAAGGAGTCTGGGTGACAGGAAGCAAGTGGCTTGTCATGCCTATTGCCTAGCTGCTAGGTTTACCTTGTCTTGAAAATACCATGATTGCCCCATAGGCTAGTCAGTGTAAGGGAGATAAAAATTCCTTGGGAACTTACCTAGTGGGTTTGCTTTCCAGATTTGGTAGACGCAAAAAGCGAGGGGGGAATATGGGCAAAGGAAGGTGGATTTTGTATATAGAATTGAGTAAATATAAGTAAGAGTCTTAGAAATCATCATCACTTAAAGATTACATAGCCCAGCTGGAGCCAATTTTCTGTTATGTTTGGGTTAGTCTTATGTATCAACACTTCAGCGTTTTTTCTTTTCTTTTTTTTTTTACATAGGTTTTATTATGGCAGGAGTCTATGTTTCTATCTGGGTAGAATTGGATAAGATTTTCCAGGAAAGGTATTTGTGTAGCTGATTACAGATTATAATGGTGGTAGATACCTCATACCCTATCAAAACATTGGTTTTGTGCTGGAAAGAATAAAAGGGATTTTTCAAAATTTCCTAATTATTTTAGGTATCTGAATACATGCTTGGGAGATGACTATTCTGGTATGTCTGCTTAGAAATGCCTTTTTTCCCCCCCTTGAAAAAATCACTTGGCAGATTTGATGAAAAAGAAAATGTGTCCAACTGTATCCAGTTAAAAACCTCAGTTATTAAGGGTATTAAGAACCAATTGATAGACCAATTTCCAGGTATTGAACCATGGCTTAATCAAATCATGCCTAAGAAAGATCCTGTCAAAATAGTGCGATGGTAAGTCTGTTTTTCTGTATGTAAAGCATAGTAGCTGAATATTTAGTCATTAGATTGTACTCCTAACAAATAGAATTAATTATTTTCATACTATTGTTAGGTTAATGATGTGAATAGATAAGCAAAATGATTTCTAAAATTTATCAATATTCATATATTCAAATATTTTTGTGTCCATGAAAAATGTGGTTTGTGTACTTACTTTTTTTAACGAGTTAAGTGTTTTTATTCAGAGTTAGGTTTAATTTATTTCAGTTTGTACAGTGGAGAGTTGTTTTATTGAATTATCTAAGAGTAGAATTAAAATAATAAAATGTGAAATATAATTAATTGTAATAGGTTATATATTTTTTCTCCACTGGACTGGTATGATAGGAAAAACAATTTAAACTTATTTTGTTTTGGCCAGGATCTTTACCAAAATTTTTAAAAAGCTCACAGATTATTGTATCTCTGTATATACATACTTCACATTATAAGTTTTAAAGGATGCTTGACTTATTTTTTGAAATAAAATATCTAACCTGTTCCTTTGTGACATTTGTCTTACAGCCATGAACATATAGAAATCCTTACAGTAAATGGAGAATTACTGTTTTTTAGGCAGAGAGAAGGGCCTTTTTATCCAACCCTAAGGTTACTTCACAAATGTAAGTCTTGTTAGAAAATACACATTTTGGGATATGGGAAGACACAAAAAGGTGTTCAAATTGGTATCTCACAGTTACCTGTTATTTATTAGTACTAGGTAATAGGGAATATAAAATTAAAATGAGTCCTCATCTTATGGTAAATTTAAAAAATGCAGATTTGGTTTCAATTCTATTATGCATTACAGACAACCTAGGAAAGACTATTCATTCATTTATTCAACAAATATTTACTGAACTTACTATGTGCCAGGTGCTGAGCTAGGTACTGAGAATACAATGGGAAGCAAACATAGACATGATCCCTATCCTTATGAAGCTAACAGTCTATTTGGGGAGAAAAGACATTAATTAGGTAATTATCTAAAATATATTCACAAACCAATAAGTGCCATGAGCACTTTCACCTTTTAAATTTGTGTCTGTCTAATAGAGGTATTTCTCTATAGAGGAAAGCACTGGCTAAATGTGGGAATCCATGTATCATTAGGTCAGTGTTATGGTCAGATGTTATGAAATAAATGTTTATTACATAGTCACATTTGTGTGTTGTTAGACTGAGTACATTACAAAAGAAAATCCAAAGAAAGATACAATCCCATGGTATAAGAAGTTTTCAACTGTGAAGTGAAATTCTGCTTTTCAGTCTGGCATTCTAGCCAAGAGGCAGAAGGGAAGGGGTGACTGGAGGGCTCTGTTGATGGTGGTGGTAACTTAATGAGTTTGACATTTTCCTAAGAGGAAATAAATTTTTAAATTACCTGGTGATACAGAGGTGAGGAGCAGTTAAAGTGTAGGGCAAGTCTAAAAGAGGTAAAGCATTTACAATTATTTGACTGAATATTGACTCCATCAGGTTAAAAAAATTAGGATGCAGAGTAATTAAGTCTTGATGCAATGGGTTTCAAATGAAAATATTTTGGTAATATTAAGACATTTTGGTGATGTTAATTCATATTCATCTACAAGAGAACCAAGAGTAGTCTTGTGTATACCTAGATTGGATCCTGGATTGAAAACAAGCAAAAATTCAAGCTATAAAAGACTTTCTTTGGGCAATTTGGGGAAATTTGAATATGATTTGATACTATGCTATGATACTGTAAAACTGTTGTT